ATTTCATACTACGGATTGTTTTTATTCAACTTTTTTTCTTGGATATTTAAGGGCTAGTTAACCTCATGGAATGTACACTATTGACAAATTCATTGTTGTTGAGATTTGCGAAAGGACTACTTAGCTCATCATAGAATGTTCTACTTGTCTGAGAGGGTAGTTTGTTTTAAGATAATTAATCATCCACCAATTTAGGGAAATTGATTTTAATTAATGCTCAGATAAAAAATTGAACCAAAATTTGATGATTTTAAAGACACATGATTTGAGCAAAATTAACTATGAATAGGATTAGCTCATTTCTCGGTCCTAATTATCCTGTGATTTTTTATTGTTGATGAATTAACAAGAAAAGAAGCTCATTCAATCCTTTTATTGCACGTCAGATTTCATCTGTCAGCGTCGAGGCTTCTTCTCTTCCCCTTCAATTCTAAATTTCTTCCTGTTTTCAACCCACTCTTTTCTTCGACCATTTCCAAGTGTCTTACAGAGTCCATTTTGAGTTAGGATAAGCAAAGTTGAATCCTATTGGTGAGAAACTAGAATTGCATAACCCTCCACTCAATAAGTCAAACGTAACCATTTCGCTCACGGGATGTAAACTGATGGGCATCGTTCCTCTCCCCACTGACCTCTGACTTCGGAGAACATTTTGATCACTGCATCATTGGTGTACGCAATTGTCTTCTATTTATTTGACCCCATCAAAATCCAAATGTACGCATTTGAGGAATAAATGTCATTTTTTGATAGCTTTGGAAAGATTAATAGTCTTGTGAAGTGACAGATCTAAGCCCAAATTGGTTATAACGTTAAAGTAGTTTAAATTAAAGGGATAAGTGCCACTTTTAATCTTAGCCAAAAAATTATTATGAAATTTTGCTGGAACTTGTACCTTAATAATCTGTTCTCTTAGTCTGCAACGAATTGATTAGAGTTAGTCCCTTTGCTAATTAAAATTTTAATTTCCTTCTTTCATTGGCTCATAAATTTAATTGCAACTTATCTTCAACCTCCTTCAATCATTTTGTCTGATTTCTTCTTTTTCACTTAATTAATATAAAGCAATTTTAAAAAAAACCTATAGGCTTCGTTGTTAATACACGATTTTAAACATCGTAAGAGCCCATTTTAAAATGACTCATTACATTTTCCAAGGGAAATAGCAAACAGTTGAATCAAATTCTCTATTTTTACTTATTGACTCCTGCGTATGATTTTGTAACTCGATTGGTCAAAAGTGTTGCGATACTTCCTTAAATAAACCATACGTGAGTATATTAAGTCCAACACAATCATCGTAAGTGGCTTAATAAGTGTCTTTTATCAAATTTCAGGACCAATGATTAAAAATAATGCATAACTATTTTGTGTTATACAACGGGTAATAATAATAAATCATACTTTTAGTATTTCATATGAAAATTGGGTAAGCTATTTTGACTAACTCTCTTGTTGCTTAATTTACCTCTTCTTATTCATGAGAATCCTGTAGCCATCTGTGTAACAAACGCTTTATTTTATTTTTTTGTGGTCACAATTTTATAGAAGTCAGAATTCTATCGTTCTTTGAATAAACAATGCAGATAGCCCCCAGTTTTTATTTAATAGTTTATTCTCCCTAAAGTGGAAAGTTCATTTATCTGGCCATCCCAAACTACATCAAAGCTATTGGTTTAAAAGGCACAATCAAATGTTCTAAAACTTTCTTGAGTCATTTTGCTTTACCGCTAGCTTGAGTGAAAAGTGAATCTTATTAACAATAGCACCAATCATAAGTAATAAAATAAAGAGCCCAATATAAACTTACGCAATCTGGTCGCATCACTGTCTGAATTTGGTTGTTCCTCGTTCTGAACTTGGTTAGCGGATCTGCGTCTTCTCGACTGAGCTATAGTAGCAGCTCCTCCCAAAGTCTGTTTAATTAAATTTTGAGTGTAACCTTGAGACACCTTGCCACAATAAGTACACCAGTACTTAATCGGTGGGCTAGAAGTTGGCTTTCCCAATTCATAGGTAATTTTAACTGAAGAATTAGTAAGTATCTCATAGCGACATCCTACAACTCCATCGCCTCTTATTTTCGAACAGTTTTGTTGACCTAAATTG